AGTAGTTAATTTTTTAAACTTCTTTAGGCTCTTTTGGAATAAAAAAACAGATTAAGAATCTTGTTAACTCTACTTGTTAAATATAAGTTATTCTTGTATCAAATTCAGTAAAATACATTTCAACTTAAACTTACATTATTCTATAATATTAAAATTCGATAGTTTGTTAATTGGCTATTCGATAAAATGATTATTATTTATTGAATTTTTAATCAATTGTAAAAATTTATATACAATTTGATGAAAAAAAAAAATATATATATATATATATATACATATATATATATATATATATAATAGTATTGTTTATCCATCAATCACAAATTTATTATGAGAAGTTCGCAGGTTTTTCAATAAATAATTAGTAATTGCATATAACAAGTAGATTTTAATTATTATTTTATGAGGAATTTCATAGATTTCTGACTCTTTGTTCTATTTATCTTTATATTTTTTATATCTTGTAAGAGCAATCATAGAGAAAAGATCAAGAAAAATGATGTCCTTAGCAGCAATTATAGTTGTAGTTTTTATCTCATTTATGAAATCTAGTTTCAAGAAACGTCATTAAAGAAAATTCGTTTATCTTAACAAACATCGAAGTAGTTCTTATAAGTAACCCAATGGTCGATTGATCTGATTCGCGTCCAAGAAAAAGAAATAAAGAAGACAATTTCCCACGACCAATATATACGGACGGACTAACTAATTCAAACAGATAGAGCAGGAGCAATTACTGTTTGCTTTGTAATGCGATAATGATGATTAGCTTTTTCAATACATCGAATTTGCAATATAAAAAATTCATAAACTGTAATGATAAAATTGCTTAGCTTTGGCTTACTTTTTTTTCAGTTTCTTCTTTAATGTATGTTTTGAGCATATGTCCAGGAGTTTAGTTTTGACGCTTGGACAATTTATTTTTTGACATCGTCACTATCTACTACTACTACTACTACTACTACTACTACTACTACTACTACTACTACGTACACATAGTATTATCGATATTTGTAATTATTCATTTGAATTGTTCCTTATAGTAGTCAATAATGTATTTTACACACTATTGATGTTTACTCGTTTCTATTTTCATCTTCATTATTAATGAATTGTAGTGATTTTCTATTTTTTCATTATAAATTTCTACATTATGTTGATGTGACATATTGTTTGGAACAATATTATCAATGTATCTTACTACATTGACATAATAGTTACGACAGTAATGTACAGTATCATACAGAGTGCGTATTTTAATTTCTAAATAAGTTAAAACTATGATTGTTTAAGCGCAAATTCTTCTAGATTTATGAAGTAGTTGGTTCAATGTATTATAATGTTCTTATAAATCTACATTCAAAGAAATATATTCAAAGACACGTGCATCAATTTAGTACTTTTTAAAGAAAATGTTTGTGAAAATAAGCTGAATCACGTTGAATATAGAAGTTGGCGCTCGTTACGGAGGGCTTAAGTAAAGAAATGGCATTTCTTTTATTGACAAGTGATAAGAATTATCACTTGAAGTTTTATTGCATAAACTATAATCGAGCAAATGAATGTAAAACAAATAGCCTTTTTTATCGATCAGTTAAGTTAAGCTGTGAATAAAAAATCAATATATATTTATTTATTTATTTATTTTTATTTTTTTTTTTTTTTTTTTTTTTTTTTTTTTTTGACAAACTATCGTATAATTCAAGTTTCGAATGCAGATGTCGTATTTTTATGTTGTATTTAAAAAATTGTGCTAATCTTTCGAGCCACTCATATTTATGGGACGAATAGGATACTCAGGAAATCGCCGGATCAATCAAGGTCGCAAGAATATATCATCAGTCGATTGCGTATAGCTTCGACGAGGGCATTCATTATTTAATCTCAGGGGAGCAGCCAAGGGATTATATGCCGCGCCCTTATTGGTAAAGTGTTGCAACCATACCACGTACCTACATTTCCGTTTGCAGTGCAAACTGTATTAGCTAATGGAGTAGGGATTTACTACTTAACACAAACAAATTTGTTTGCGAAGCTGCGTTTTCTTACTCTATACCTTTTCGTATATTCCAATGAAGAGGTGAGCAAATACTTATTCGATGTGCCAAACGTCCCAATCATTTCGAGAGAAACGAGACACATCGAAATGATAATAAATTGGTAGCAACGAGTACTTTCTTCAATTATGAGAAAATTTATGATTTATGTATCCGTGTAAATATTTTGTAATTCTTTACTTTGAAACTACCGACAATTGCTCATAATCAAGGCAATAGATAATTTTAATGCAATTGTAAAATTGCAAATTACCAATATTGAGATACATACAATGGCAGTTAAATATGTGGACAATGGCTATTAGAATAATTCAGTATAATGAGAATTGGATCGTCAAAATTTCTAACAGCAATAGGTTTTACGAGCAAATAACTAATATTCAAATTATACTTACAACATAATTTCTATTTACAATTAATAAATTCACCTTTAATAAGCCTTAACCTTAACCAATCTCGAATTATCAAACAATCATGTCTTAATAAGATATTAGCATTTAATATTTATTAAGTATGTTAATAGCTTTTGAACTCCTATCGAGTCCTATAAAAATTAAAAAAAATAAGGAGGTAATAATTTGATCAACCTCTTTCTTTTAATAAAGAAACTTAATTAATTTTAAATACATATTAAAAGAAGAATATAATTATAACTTAAGTAATGCAATAAATAAAACGTGGAGTGACTAAGTAAATTTTCATGTTAAATTAAAAAAAGGATATTTATAAAGGATATTAATTACATTTAAATAAATTTTTGTTTGTTTTGGTGATACTTATAAATATTTGTAGAAATAAGTACTTCAATATTGTTATTATTATCTCCAATGTTGTTGTTTTATCAAAGAATGATTTTGGTATCTTTATATTTTAGATTTATTATTTTGTTATTTTACAATATTTTTCATTTCTTTTTCCACGGCAAAGCGATTGTTATTTTTATATTTTTATAAAATAATTTGACGCATTAATATTAATATAGTATATAAATAACTTTTCAATCAATCAACTCGTAGCTCCTACATTATTTTTTCAATTATAATCTCAATCATATACTTTTTTAAAAAATCCTCTCTTTTATAAGGACTTTCTACAATATATCAATGCAATTGCTAAAAAATTCGTATATTTAATTATTATCTGATCAGCATAGATTAATAATAAAGATAACAACATTTTTCAAAACTTATACGTTAGAAATTTCAAAGAACATATGATTTTATGTACATAAATATTAAATAGTTGAAATGAAAAATATTAAAAATTCTTTATTAACTAATTCATTTCAAATTACGCATGTTAAATAGCTGTAATAAAATAATATTAAATTAGTTACATTGTGAAATTGAAGTAGGTAGGTTTATACGCCTGAAATAGTTTTATGAAGTTATTGCGACTTTTGAATAAGATTTATATACAAATTTTTTCCACAAATTTTTTAAGCGATCAATTTCGACATTTTCATTATACGGTGTGCGAGTTTATTATGTGATATATATTTTGCAAAGTATTTTTAATTGATGGAAAGGAGGTAAAGGTAAGAGAAGTTAATGAATTGCAATCGTGAGCGAGTGAACTTTGGAAACCTAAATTTTCAAAAACATTCATAGTAATGATTTAAGAAAAATTTTTTAAGAATAAAAAAAAAAAATTTGTCTATTTAATTTAAATGTTAAAATATTTTTAATTATTATTTTTCTTATATCAATTTTAAAATATAAAAATATAATTTAATTTATTTGGATATTGGAAAGAGACGATTCTTTAAAATTAAAAAATCTATAGTTAAATTAGTTGGATGGAATAATATAAATATATTTCTTTTTTACTGGCAATGAAATATTAAGTGTAATAATAAATTAATTATAAATAAAAAACATTCTTATAATTTATTTACTAAACAATGGAATTATATATTGAATACATTACTCTGAAAATTATGTAAATAAGAAAATATATAATAAATAATGAATCTAAAAGTATAAGAATTGCAATACAAAATAAAAATAATACATATATTTTTGAGTGAAAAAAAAAATATAATAATAATAATAAATGTATGACCATTCACTTTGTTAAATGAATTTGTCAAATACTTTAAACAAAACAATGAGGAATATAATATGTTTATATATAATTTCTATTGACTCATATTATTATTTGATAATAGTGTATTATTATTATTTGATAATAATAAGGATTGTTAAAAATTCAAATTCATAAATTTCATGAATATTTATGAGCAAGTAGTCAATGAAATTATTCGATTGGACGATTAACAATTTTTTAGTTCTATAATAGACTTTTTACACTTATATATATAAATTTTATTTGTTGTTATATATTATTATTATCTATATATCTAAAAACTAAAAACATAATACAGTGTTACACATAAATAAAAAACGTATTGTAGAATGTGTTTGCGACAATATTAAAATACAGATTTTAATATATTATTTGTCTAATTATTTATTTGCAAATAATATAACATTAGCTTAAAATTGTTTAGTAAGTGCGCGCGCATCGTTAATGATAAACCAATATAACCTGAAAATTGGAATTGTCAAGCAATGAATTTAATTTACAATAATAAAATTGATTATACTTTAGCTAAATATACGATAAAACTAGACGTAGTTAAATTTAATTACCTTTAATTAAGATTAATAATAGGGCTTAGTTCTAATTTTTAGTAATTTTCAGAATTATTATTATGGAGAATTATTATTTGGCAATAAGCTATGATCAATGCAATACAAAAATTGTAATTGCGAAGAATAAATATATTACCATGTATTAATTAAATAATTATTTTTAATTCAATAAAATAAAAAATTCAATAAAATAATATGAATATTGTTATTTTAAGCTGAATTTTATATTTTATGATTAATATTTACATGTAATATGATTTACTAATATTTTATCAATTTGTATTAGGATATTTTTTCATCCAAATGGTGCGCAAATATAAGAGAAAAACCAATCGACAACAATGGGGAAAGAACAAAATGATAGAAGCTGTCAATGCTGTTTTAGAAGGAATGCAGATGAAGATAGCAGCACAGAAATTCAATATACCAAAAACTACTCTAATGAGATGGTACGAAAAAGCTAAATGTAACGATATTGAAACATATGATGTAAAATTGGGAAGGTTTAAAACTGTTTTTACAGCCGAACAAGAGTATCAATTGAAGCAGTATATAAAATATCTGCAATGTTCATTATGCGAGCCAAATTCATTAGAGTTACGTCAGATAGCATTTCAGTTTGCGGAAATGAATAATATAAGTCATAAATTTAATAGAGCTACACGTATAGCAGGTCAAGAATGGTATACAAATTTTTTAAAACGAAATAGCGATATTGAACCAATGTCCTCCAACAGTACATATTTCAGTGAATTAAACGACGCACGTAATATTGAAAAGTTCTTTAATATTTTGACTAACTTACAACATTATTATAACTTTTCTTCAAATCGTATATTTAACGTCAACGAAACGTGTTACATTACAATGCCAAGTTTGAAATCTAGAATTGATAATATATTGAAGTCTGAACTTATTACAATAATTACATGTTGTAATGCCGCTGGTACTTTTATACCTCCATTAATGATTTTTCCAACAAATATAGAAGATCTAGAATTTTTTAAAAAGTGTCCTCAGGGTGCTAAAATTGTTTATCATCCAGCTGGATCAATGCAAAAAGAAATATTCTATCCTATATGGGTTTATCACCTTTTAGATTATGTAAAACCAAGTCGTACGGATCCTATTTTACTTTTATTGAATGGACATACTATGCATGTGAAGAATTTAGAGTTCATTGCGAAAGCTCAAGAATTCAATATACATATGTTAAGTATACCGGTGAATACTATTCAGAAATTACATCCATTAGAGTTTCATTTCATGGAAAATTTAAAGACATACTATTCGGAAGAGAAGAGAAAATGGATGCAAAAGAATAACAGTCGGTTTATTAATTTAACAAATGTTAGTGAGATATTTGGAGCAGCATATACAAGAGCTGCGGTACCTTCAAATGCGATAAATGGATTTCAAGCTTCCGGTATATATCCATTAAATCAATATACATATGCAAATACTGTAAATACTCCTCAAACGACTCCCTTGTTTATGGAAATATTACAAGACAATGAATCTCAACCCATTATTAATAATAATATAGTGGATACATCGATATCTCAAAATACAAATTATAGATTATTCCTTACGAATCCTAGTGACAATAACAACATTGTGACTGACAATAATGAAATAAGTATTGCGATACTTGATAATTTAATAAATGATAAGAATATTCACAGACATTATAGTATTCAATCAATGGAAGAAGCTAAAGATCCACTAGAAATGTTATTCGCAGAATTTACATAATATTAAAAATAATATGTGATTAAAGCATATGAGAATAATAATAATAATAATAATAATAATAATAATAATAATACAAAAATACCATGCCACACGGTATGGTTAAATTTTAAAGAAAAGACTGAATTTGTAATAAACATATATACATGCATATAGATAGAAATAGGCATCGATGTACATTTTTGCATTTGTATAATTAACCAGACTTATGCTTACATATGTAATTAGTATAAAATTAGTTTTTGAAGAAAAAAAAATATTAATTATAATAATAGTTACAAAGTATTTCTACATATTAATATTAAATACGAATTTTTAACTACTTTTAAAACAGAATTATATATTAATAATATTTTTGGAAATGTCCGTTATTTATATAACAATTTGTATTATTTTGTATTTATCGTTATCTAAACTAAAGTATCTAGTAACTCGATATAATTTTTGTAAAATAATTTCTAAAACCATATGAAATAGCATACATTAAGAGAATAAGAATTTTAATATCTCATGTAAATATCTAATACATACATTAAATAAATGTATAATTAATTATTTAAAAAACTGTGTATTTATTAAACATACGAACATCTACAATTTGTAAATAATAACTATTACATTATAAATATTTCATTTAAAGATTATGGAAAAGGGAATCATTTGTTTGAATTTAGATTTTAACGAACAGTCTTTTGTTGCATGATACTTTTCATATTCATATTGTAGTGTATTTAGCCAGTCATTGAAAATTAATATTAACTAATTGCAATTGAGATATATCACAATTATAATAAATCATTTATTACTCATTGAAGATGATAACATTTATTAATTTGCAGATATCTTTGGATAGATAAGTAATTGTACAAAATAAAACCTAGACTAAATTATTATCCCTTGTAATTAATTACATAAAATATAAAATTTCATGGTTAACAAAATACATTAAATATTGTTGTTTAAATATAATTAATATCAAATACCTTTTTCTTTAAATAAAGTTTGATATTGATGAAGATCATTTTTGGATAGCCACTGGTCTGCTTCTGTTATCTCATTATTGTTTCCATTTCCAGATATTGACATAATAAATATACTAAAATCAATTGGGATGTCCATAAGAAGCCATGTTGCAAACATAAACAATTTGATCATTTGCCTGTTTAAATTGAGATGAATAAAATAAGATTAAATTAGTCAATTAATCATTTTAAGTAACACGCAGTCTACAATTTTTAGATTTTAGCTAAGAAATATGACATTGCTGCTTTTATATTCTCAAATCAATTTTACTTACAATAATATGATTAAATATTTCACAATATTTCTAATAATTACCTATTAACGTTAATAATGCTTCGAGTTATAGGATTCGGTGAAGCAAGTTATATTTTATTTAGCGAGTAATTTAATTTAAATAACATTTATATAAGTGAAAAGTTACTTTTCAATGAGATTTAGTTAAGCTATACAATGCTGATTTAATTAAGTTGAAAATTATAAGCAGAATAATATAATAAATGTAAATGTAAATGTAAACAATATTATATGCAAAGGAGGCACACAATATTCAAACAGATGCACGAATAAATTAAGTCTTGCTAATTTTCTGGCCATCTATTTATAAATGTTATATGCACGGAATATCATAAATGTAATCAATAATGACATGTGTTGTTTAGAAGAGCTTTCGATTATCTTTTAAACACAATGATCATATACGAGTTTACATTACGTAAGTTGAATTGGCAGGTTATGTGATTGCAATATAAACCTAGATGCATCATACCTAGTGACATCATTAAATTAACATACATGGAAATTTGAACAATATCTTACCACATTATTGATCCGCTTTATCTCAATAATTTATTAGTAAATTACGTAAAATGTTTTGATATGTTATCAACGAGAATATGAGAACGGAAATGAATTTTGATGTGTAGTTGATCGTCCCCCACCCCCCTCGCCAAAAGATGACAAGGCAAACTAGGCCAGTCTGACGGTTATTTGGAGAAACTCTGGAAGACAAAAGTTTATAAATAAAAAAAAACGAATAAAAAAATGTTTTTTAATGCGCTAAGGATGATATATGACGCCTATTATGTACGATATAGAGTTGTATATACCAATTTTGGAAGCAGCTTAGCAAATAGTAATGCGCAGTGCATCTCGTACCGGCTGCACACCAGGTAATGCTAGGAATTCTCGTGAAAGTACATGTGTACGTGCACGTGTACTTTGTATGCCGAAGGTTGCAAGGGTAGAATATTGTATTGCATATTGCACGTAATTGGCAATTGTAGAGGTGAGGTAAGAAGACGCGTCCTGACTTGATTCTTCGGCTTTAGTCGACAATGCTTTCATATTATTCGTGTAAAGTGTATAGATCGAAGTTGTTAATAAAAGCGAAGGCATTTAACAAAATGTTGTAATTTGATAAGATTATATCGACACATCGTACGTGGTAGTTGTATTAATTATTATAAAAAAATTTTATTTCGTTATTTTCTATGTGACTGCCAAAAGTTCTGCATTCAGAGACAAAATTATATTTGTTCGACATTGCATCTGGCAAAACAATATCATTAAACAGTCCTGCCTATAAAACATCTGCAGAACATGTCGTTAGACTCGGAAAAATCCTTCTCATTAGGTAGTTGCAAAGAATCGCTATATCGAAAATCTAAAATCTAACGGTATGTACTCGTACCCCCCCCCCCAAGGGGTTTGTTGTCAAGTCTGTAACGAGGCACGTCGAGGGCAAGGAAATCGGGAGCTCTTCTTGGCGCGAAGACCAACAGAAGACTGAGCTTTGTGATTGAAGGTGATGCCGCGAGAGGCGTTGCTCTCGCTCTATAAGCCGCAAGCTCTCCGATTGGACACAAAAAAGTGAAGGGGTCCCAAGTGGACACCATGGTCAGTGAACTGTATTTAAGAGGGACAACCACAAGATTCAAGCACTCATGTTGAAGTTCTCATAGAAAAATGGAAGAAAGGAAGAAAGTTCCTTCAGCTAAGTCCGAAGACAAGTCGTCATTTGTAGACTCATCTACACAAGGGCGTCATAGCGACTATCTCCCACCCAATGTTTCTCGAGGAGCCAGCTCACCGAGGACACTTAAAGGATCAAGGTCGCTTCTAAGGTACATAATTCTACTGCCTGTGCCCAAGGAGAATCTCGGACGTGCTCCACGCGCACAAAGCACACATCGGCAAGCCAATCATCGCGCCATTAAGCGCTCATCTTGCAGAATCATCGAAAAACCGCACGTGAACGAAGCGCACGAAGCAACCGCAGATACACCACGCGGCTCTACTCGAAGAAGTAGTAAGAGCTTTACAACCTCTCGCTTCCCAGGAAACAAAACACCAGTGCACTACGTCAAGAGGTTCGGGAAATTTACAACCTCCTACCTCTGATTAAGGTGCATTGCATCCTAACGCCAAGTGCCAACTGCCCAGAACCCAAGAGTTCATAGATTGATAATAGCGACAACAATCAATCCTGTATTTGGAAATTAACGGAATAAACAGCATAATAAACGAATGTGTTAAATATGCAATTTACTACGCTATCTCTTCCACTTGCCCGCACGTTTCTCCCACATAACATCACGTGATCTTTTAGTTAATTCTAAACAATATTATATTAATTCGTGTTTGATTAAACAGCATTTTAAATGCATATAAATAATTTATATAAAAAGATTCTTTAATTAAATAAACAAATGTAAAGAATTACTTTTTCTCGGCTAATCAAATAGTAAATTAAGTTTTGTATAATTATTTACGAGTTCCGAATAGAAAGTATATTGTGTGAAATTTTTATTTCGTATGATAATTGTTCTAATTTTTGAGAGGATTAATATTTTATATTTTTATTGTATTCGAAATAACGAGTACACGTATATTCATGTTTAGTTGTATATATTTATGGGAAACAACATGCAGGATTAGACAAAATATTCAACTACTATATAATATTTATTGTCGATCATCCATCTATTCTGCTATATTAAGTTCATTTATTAATTATGCATATTGATTTATAATAAATATTTGTCACTGTGTACTATATATAATGCTTATACATAAATTGGTATGACGTTTATTAAAACATAACCGTAGACTATAGTTTTATATTGTTTAAGAATAATTTTTACATTTACAATAGCATATGTGAATTGTTTTTATTTTTTTCTTTTATATACAAGTTTATGCAGAAATTTAATTAAAAAAAAAGTCACGGAGCTTGTGTCCGGTTGTGACAAATGATTCAAAACAATTAAAAAAAGAAGAAAAAAAGAGAAAAAAAGATAAAGCAAATTATTGATAATAATTAGACAGAAGAAGACATTGAGGGTTGCTCTATATTTTAATTGACTATAAATCGAGTGAGATTTTTATGCTGTAAATTAAAAAATTAATAATTAGAATAATATTCTATTGCAATAGCGTATTTGAGTTTTGAAAAAAGTAAAAATTATCTTATAATGATTTTGTGTAGCGAAGGCGTAAATATTGGTATAAATAATTTGATATTATAAAAGTTTCTATTATAAATACATGTGATTTTTTTGTCTGTGTATGGTCTCGAGCATACGCATTATAGGTATGCGTGTGCGTGCGACTTGTTTTATATGTATTTGTTGTTCCGTAGGCAGTGATATATATAAAAATAAGTGCAAGTAATTGTATATAAAAACATTTGTTTCCCCTTACTAAGGGTTGTATCAGTTGAAAATATTTTTTTACAATGTCACGTGTATAAATACAATTTAATCTTAAGGTGTTTTATATCGAGAATAATATTTCACAATAATGTACATTAAATTCACCTTTTTACCTTTTACATTTATTCTTGAATCTTTATTTAATATATATATATATATATATATATATATATATATATATTGGAGAGATTTATTTAGTAATGTATTTCAGAATTAGGAATATTAGTGAAAGGATGTCAAC